TACCTAAAATCTAACCTAACCATAAATTAGTGCTAACCCTTACCCTAAATTAATGCGTCATTAGTTTGTTTTGATTTCACGTTACACCAGATCTTATGGGGTGCGCAAAACGCATCCGCGCAAAATAATATAATTCTTTTTATAAACATATTTTACTTAAAATTTAATTAAAAAATAAAATTTAAAAAAAAAAAACAATTTGTATTGCAATTTAAAAACAATAGTATATTATTTATTTTTTTTAAAAAAAAAAACTAGTAAAAAAGTATTTGAACTAATAACCTGATTCAATAAGTAACATAGTTTTGGCAATATCTTTTCAACACACCATCAAATTCATTATTACATAAATAATATACAATAGCTTGTAAAATCATTCAAAAAAATTCTTCTAATAAAAATTGTAATAAATAAGATGCCTCCATCAAAATTTTTCGTTATTTTAACAAATTACAATTCTGTTCTACATGATTGATGATAATCACAAAATATACATGTTTTATAGAATAAATTTACCGACCCTTTTTACATACAAATGCCAAAATTTAAGCACATTCATTAAAGCAGGAGGACATAAGTGATTATTCAAAAATATGTACGAAGAAACATTGCATGATCAGGAAAATCCTCCCTAAAATAATATACTACTATCTTAAATTTTTTGTATTATTGGACTAACAGTGTGGAAAATTTTCTCATTCATACTGAAGTTTCTCTAGTATTTGATTAAATATCACATAATAATTCATAGTTGTATACTTCCGCCGCGTACGCTTTCAGTGCGCGCTTCCAGCATGCGGCTGGAAACGAACGGACTGTGGATTTGCACCTTGTGAATTAAAACGGCCAGATTGTGGTTGAAACCGGCCAGCCCAAATAACTGCAGATTTGGCCTGTCGATACAAATTTGTGACGTAAGGATGAACATTGTTATTTGCTGAAGGTAACAGCAACCCATCCAAAAATCGAGCTACATCCGAAAATGCTTGCTGTGTGTATGTATTCATATGATATCGCATGCGAAGAAATATGAAATACACAAATAATGTGAAAAACCTTAGATGAAAACTAATAAATGGAAATTACGTTGTGAAATATTTAAGTATCTCAGTATAAATGGTAAAGCAAGCAAAGAAAGCAAAGTACTTACGTCAAAACATTCCAAATTAGCACATTAGTAATCACAACAACTTCAACGAAACTAACAGTCTTCATTGCCTTGTCGTAATTTTTGTGCACCCAACTTTGAATGAATCTCGAAAGATTTGCTGCGTATTGTTCATAAGGAGAAGCTGATGGTTGTGAAGAAGAAGAGCCAGAAACTGACGATGGGAAAAATGTTGGGAGGATATTTGCACGTATATAAGTGATCAAATGAAACAATGAAAAAGTGGCATAGGGTAAAAGTGTAACTACATAATCAAGGAATAAGAATGTATAATTTTAAAAATTACTGGAATTGTTAAATACAGCAATCACAACGTTACACCACGTATTAGTTATTATAAAGTTAAAGGACACATTCGCATACCGAATACTGACGCATTCATAAACCATACGCATGCCAGCACAAGATAAAATACATTTTCATCTCTATTAATTTTTTGAAAGTATTCCCAGGTTGGTGCTGGTGTCTGTTATTGATTGTATAATCAGAATATAGTTAGCACAATTCTTAAGATCAATAATATATTAACATGATCTATTATACAATAGAGACTAATCAGGGCCATTTTAATTAGAATATTGAAATCATTTTATGTTAAAATGAAGTGTCTCCCCCGCAATAAAAAAATAAAAAAATATATATATTTAAAACCATGAAAAACCGTCAATGAAACTCTCACTCTAAAGACTCGAGTTAACGGATATCATACGTGTGCTGCTATTCACCAAGTCACTAAACGAGACCAATAGAATATTTGCAATAAAACTTACACCAAATGATTTGTAAATTACGACTCCATAACTCAGCATGGCACCCAAATAGGCTGTGTAATAATAACTTGCTCCTTCAACAGCGCGAAAAGTGATCCAGTAGTATAAATGAAAAAGAGAACAAAAAAATACGACACAATGGCCGCACCACCAAATGAATTGAGGGTGCTGAGGTGAAAAATAAAAAGTAAAAGTGTGAATAATCATGACTTTGTGCAACCACAAACGATAGCATAACTGTTCGCGTAATAACTCGAACACAATCAAGAGTGTACGTACCCTGACAAGTGTACCAACACGATTTACGAGAGGCTGTTGTGCCATCTTAAGTTTTTATAAAGCTCTTGTCTGTATCAGCTTTACTTATCGACCCTCCAGATGTTAATATTGTGAGATTAACTAATGAAGAAATATGTTGAATGAAAAAAACTAGCCGAGCGTATCTGCGACTATTTCAGTCTAAAAGTTTGGAAGCCAAAAATAAGATGCTTGATGAATTTGTCCGAAAACGTCATCGTTAAAAATCCGCCAATTGACGATCATTCAGCTGTATATTAACTTTGGCATGTATGCACTTGTCATTTTATCGTGAACCCATTGGGTAATTGTACTAATACGTTACACAATTGAAATTATTTATGCATAGTAAACTAAACGTGACAGTGGTATACATGTTAAGAGTATTTTTTTTATATAGCTAATATTAACAAGAATTATATAGTTAATACTAGCCAGAATCATAATTAATGCTATATAGTTGGAATTATAATCATGATTTTGACCAAATTCATGATTTGCTATTCTTTATTAAAATCCCTCAACCACTATTTTAGTCACGTGAGCACAGGAAGCTTCAAAAGATGTATTATTAATCAAAATCTCTATTATTGATACTACTTCACTGTACTAATATAATTCAAAAATTAAATATTGAAACCCAATAATACATAAATCGCGATATATAAAATTTTAATCTAAATTAAATTAACTAATCTGATTCATTTAGACTTACCGTTATCAGAATCAAAAAAAAATAGTAATGATAATAATAAGTTATATACCGGTATATACAAATATATCAGTTTATAAGTTTAATGTTAGTCCAAAATTATTTATTTGTTAATGCAATACATATATATATATATATATCAATTTTCTGCATATACCATAGTATATGCCGGTATATAACGCTGAATAAATAACACCCTCCATTCTTAATAACAAACCATACCTTATTCACTTATACTTTCTGTTACATTCAGTGCTCCATGTCTGCAGAGGGAAATTTTAATATAAGATATTAGGCAATCATTTCTAAGCAATCATTTAAAAAACAAACCTTAATAAAATTTTTTCAACAGTATCTGAATCAAAATTCGTTTCACCGATTTCATCAGTAATCCTAACTAAGTTTGCAATTAGTTTGCCATTTTTATAAGCTAGTATAGCTGGGAGACCAATTAAGTCAAAGTCTAAATCATGAGCCAGAATTCGTAAGAATTTGGAATTGATAAATTTTCGAGCCAGGTGTGTCAAACATTCATTTAAGAGTCTACATTGAGGAATTGACTTTTTTCGGAATAAAACTACGTTAGTTATATTTACAAAAGTTAAAAAGGCATAAAAAAAAAACATACATTTTCATATAAATGTACGATTACACAAACGTCTGGAGCCTCATCGTCTATAGCCTTAACATATTGATTGGAAGATATTTCTCTTAAAGTTCCATATCTTTTTTTATTTACTTTCTGATTTTCAATTTCTTTAAGTTCTCTTAATCTTTGTTCTCGGTACTTTTTTAGTACTTGCTTTTCTTCTTCATCTGAGCTAATATTTTCTAAATCTTTTAAATCATCCTCTAGAGCTTTATTTAATTCATCTTCACGATATGTTGTTGTCATGGGAGCTTTTGACAATATGCGTTCGTTATATGCTGCTATTGAAGCAGATTTTTGTTGTTGTGTATATTGTTTATGATATTCATGATCTGCTAAAACACCTTTTGGACCCGTTTGTCGGCCACCATGCTGAAATAATGAAAATTGCTAACAAAATAGGATTAAATTTATTACGAGTATGTAAAAAAAAAAAAAAAAAAAAGAAGAATAAATAAAATAAGGAACGCTTATTTTCACCATGGAAATTTATTATTTCCACCATGTTTTTCACATGACTTTCAGCTATATAAACACGATGAATATATTATCATGATAAATTATGGCAAATGGGGGAAATAGCAAATTTTCAATAGTGGAAATGGCGTTCCCTAAAATAAATAATAAATAAATAAAATAAATGTTTTACGTCTAAGTCAAGCTCGTTATTTATTTTAGAAGAATCGTCATCAGAAATGTCTGAACTATGTGGTGACCTTTCTGGATCTTCGTCATCCAGGGAAGTTTTTAGCAAACTCTCAACTAATGGGTCCATCAAGAATTCAACACAATTCCTATCGCGAAGACCTATTAACGTTAAAACAGATCACCTGCGGTAACCAATCAACGCACCCGAATTAGATCTTACAATTCAAATATGTCGTTAGCCAATAAAAAATTTTTGTATTATCAAAACGATTTTGACATCGTCACTAATTAACGTTATGCCTATTTTTGGTTCTTGAAAAACTATTTGTGGTTCTTTGAACTTTGGATCTTGTTAAATATAAATGTGAGCATTTCAAGCCACAAGGTTAAGAGACAAAGCCTGGGGCCTTGTAAAAGCGAACATTACTCTCTATATTGTGTTAAATAAATCAACCAATCAATGTGAATTTAATGTAAGACAAATTTGCAATAATCACAATTTTTTTTTATTCGTAAATATCACCAAAATCACACATGTTATCGGTTATCGGTTATACGGTTATACGTACAAATCAAATCAAATAATTTTCCAGCATATTTCACGTGAGCGCATTTAGTTTATTCACTATAGTAATATAAAGCCTCCTGATCTTTTTTGCAAGGACAACGGCATAAGAATGTCTTATCGTGGCACTGATGTTGACATTTTAGACGAAGACCAGTTATTTCAAGAAGATCTATTTGCGTTCGCTGGCGGTACAGAAATTGAGCCGGAAGTGGCGCTAAGAAATGTTCAAACTAAAGGAGTTGATGTTAGAAATTTCTTGACAAGGTATTTGGATTATTAGAAGGTTTTATGGTGTATTTTGAAGCCTAACAAATATAATAAAAAGTGAATGTTTTAATATATGTCAGTTTTTTTTTCGGTCTATAGAGGTAATACTGAAAAAGCACTGGCAACAGCTATAGAAAATCCGCCATACGGTTCAAATACGACTGACGCCAAGGTTAGAATTCACAGATAAGTCAAGAAAAAGAAAAAACGCATTATACTAATTCAAAATAATACTTTTCGGTAGGATCAAAATACAAAAATTGTTATGGAGGTTCTTAACTCTATCAAAGCAACTGACATTCCATCGCTAGTTAGAAATCTAACATTAGAACAGCAGGATGTTTTGATGAAATATATTTATCGCGGAATGGCATCACCAGAATTATATAATTCAGCCGTACTTTTGAATTGGCATGAAAAGGTAAGCTAATTTGAAGGTTAATTGAGACTTGTGAGCCGAGTGGCAATGGTTGTTTATGATTTATTTTTTTTTGTAGCTTACTGAGATCACGGGTGTTGGATGCATCGTACGAGTAGCCACTGATCGAAGAACTGTGTGAATTGTGTGAATCCTAAGGTTGTACCTAACCCTTTTTTTGAATGAAATATAGGCAAAAGAGTAAAACACGTTTAGAAAAGATTTTGAAACACATCATTACATAGTCTGGGTTTGAGAATCGGGATTTCCTTTTCATTTTAGTTAATAATAACAAAATCCCAAGTGTCCCATTTTTGGTCAAGAGTATCAAACTCAAAACCTGGTTAAGTTTATTAAATTAATTTTAAATTATTAAAATTTCGTTTTCATTTTCAAATTAAGAAAGTTCTTCACATCGAAAACAAAACTTCAAATCATAAATAATAAACGACCAAGTTTCCTAGAAATTCGAGGTGTTTAACAGTTTTTAGAATTAAGGATGATAAAAAAAACGGTTTTTAAACCATTGGTGTTTGTGGTCGCTGATGGAACTACGTAGCACATCCGATTGACTTTAGCTTTAGTCAAGCTTTAATATTAGGCCATACAAATTTAGAGAATTGTTAATGCCACCCCAATTTTTGTTAATGTCACACCCATATGATATAACCCTAACCCTAACCGGCAGGTCTACGGACTAGGTAGCATAATCTGCGCATAAATCAGATTATATCGCAAAAGCATATGCGTTAGCATATTGGCTAATTTCGCATAATTAATAGAGCATAATCTGCGCATAAAATTGTATTGGTATCGGGAGAATTCGGAAAAGTAGATAATAAATTAATACGAGCACGTAGAAATTTAGAAGTAATTTTTGGTAAGTGGTCGCAACTAGTGGTGTGAATGTAATACTATAGCTTGTTGTAACTATAATGAGTTACGGGCATTTTTTGCCATAACAGTCGATCCAGATGT